CACTTTGCACAAATATAATGCTTCTTTTCTTTTAAAGAGGAATATCTGAAAAGTAAATAATGTTGAACTAGAGATGTATCTCATTTCCTTCTGTCAAAACAACTGCATTGAACATACCTGTATGAGTGCCATAAATATGATTTTTCCATCGTTTGCTTGCCTATAAGTATTAAAGGTATTGCAATATGATTTTATATTGTAGTTCTTAACAAACTTTTCTTTTGGAATCTTCATTTTCAAGGCCCTACATCGAGATATGGGGATCTCAAGAGGCTCCATATTCAGATTGTTGAATATTACCTATTTTCAGTGCTTGAAAATCAAATGTTGTTTGTGCGCAGCTGACACTTACTGTATTTAAAGCAGAATATCTAAATAATAAGTAATGCTAGAAATGTACCTTGTTATCAAAAACAATTTAGTGGGACATTTAATGTTTTGGCTTTCATCACTATACATGTTTATCTTTCCTCAGAAAAAAATATTAGCAAAATCAAATATTTGAGCTCAGTTAAGCTGACACAGAATGACCCTGTTGGGTTTTAAATAATTATACAATATATATTGAAATGAAGACAAAAATCTTGTCAAATGTCACTGGAATAAGTTAAGGATGTGTCTACATGTGCTATAAATGACCCAGACATGAAAACTAATCTTGTAAATAATCTAAACCATGCTGATTTTTACAGCTTTACTGAAGCACAGCTCCACCTGCTGGTTCCTTAGCTTTGTGGAAGCTGTTATTTCTCAATATTGGTTTTTCAGTCCCAGGACAAAACAGGCTGCAAAGCTGAAATCTTAAAAGTTTATGTACAATCTGTTCAACATATTTATCTATATTTGGATGTAACCACCCGCTTTGGGTTAAGGCAATACAAGTAACGCAAGTTATGTAATCAAATAACTTGTTTCAAGTATAACTAGTAAAGTAACGCATTACTTTTAAATGTACAGCAAAATATCTAGAGCTGCTTTTTCAAATAAGCAATGGCAGTTACTTTGTTTTTTTCATTTTCGAGAAATCAGGAGTGAGGTGCGGTGGCAGAGGCACTTCTTTCAGCCTGAGGCTTATTAATTTCACTTTTGGTTTGAAAGGGCCTTTACAGTTGCTAAAAATATACCTTTTGTGTTTTTTGTTATTAAAAAATAAATAAGGAAGCCCAGCTCAGGTGACAAAAAGTAACACAAAAGTAATGCAATGCATTACTTTCCATAAATAGTAACTAAGTAACACAATTAGTTTAATTAGTTCCAAAACGCAGTATTGTAATGCATTAAATAACTTTCCCCAACACTGATGGCAACCGCCTGCTTTTTTCTGAATTTTTCCGCTCGTGTTAACATAGCACGCCTATCACCTGTTATGTGTCAACACAATCTGACAGTAATAAAATAATGTTTAAAAACATAAAAAAAATTATTTAAAATCGAAAATGACTAGATTTTTCTAGTGTTGCTAAATACTATACAGTATATGATGTAAAATTACGGAAAGTATTCCAAAAATCCAATCCAAGCAATTTCTGTGATAGTATTGCTGTATCATGGTTGGGCCACATTATAAGCATACAATAAAACTCCAGCATCTGTGTGACTATTTGTTACGGGGCTGACAAGTCGTGAGACGTGTGGATCCATGTGCAAGCTTTATTCTGAACAGAAGACAGAGACGTGGTCATAACAGGCAGGGTCAAAACAGTGGCAAACAGGTATATGGCAGGCAAAACAAGTCAAGTCAAGTCACCTTTATTTATATAGCGCTTTTAACAATACAGATTGTGACAAAGCAACTGAACAGCATTAATTAGGAAAATAGTGTCAATAATGCAAAGTGACAATAGTAAACACTCATTTTTCAGTTAAAGACAGTTCATCATTGAATTCAGTGATGTCAACATCCAGCTCAGTTTAAATAATATCTTTGCAATTATGTCAACGATAACGCTGGAAATGAAGTGTCCCCAACTAAGCAAGCCAGAGGCGACAGCGGCAAGGAACCAAAACTCCGCAAGAAGCAAGTCATTTGTAATTTTAACACAAGAATAGTCCTAGGGCTAGAGTAGGTCGACGATCGGCAGACAGAATCACAGGGGCGAGACTAGAGGGATAAATCCAGGGAGACAGGCAAAGATCAGAACCGAGGAAACCGACAAGACAGAAACAGGAACTAGGAAAACTAACAGCCTAAGCAATACTCGGCAGTGAATGGTAGTTTGAGTGAGTGTTATATGGTGAGTGAGTGATGTGAAACAGCTGTGTGCAATCAGTGAAAACAGCTGTGTGCAATCAGTGCTGAGTGCAATCAGTGCAATGAATGATGGGATATGTAGATAAGCAACAGTATGTGTAGTGCGAGAGTCAATGTAATGGAAAGGGTGACCTCTGATGGTAAGCAAACGGAAGTTCATGGACCGGATTCATGACAATATTAAACTCAAAGCAGTTAAATATGAAAATGTATTTTCAACAAATATTATGTTTCTATTTCAATTTTTTTCAAGGTTTATAAATATTATAATATGAAGTATGGAGTAGAGAGTGAAAGTCATGGTTGAAAGACAAAATCAAACATACAGACATGGTAAATTTGTGTTAAGAACATTCTAGTGATCATCTTATTTTTTCGTAATTTTACTAAATACATTTTACAATCGAATTACAGTTACGTTGTCCTACGTCTCAAGAGAGAAGGATAAAAACACTCCAGTTCCACAGGCATATAATTCAAGCCTCATCAAGAGGATCTTTGCTCTGTAGTTGACTTCATGAAACGGGAGACACTTTATGCAGTTGCTTTAGGGAAAACACAGATATTTCTGTGTATCCTGCAGAAGCTGAGATCTTTCTGGAAGGAGTACAGGATATTGTCACCTAACCTGTAGGGGGAACGATGAAGGAAATAATAGTTAGAATGTGGTTTCTGTGGTATGCAGCCATGAAAGACCGGCCTGTTGTGTCTTGCAAAAGTCCGTTTCTGAAATATGACAGTTTGACTAATATATGTAACTCTGCCTGCATGTGCAGGAATACATCTAGAGAATAAAGAGAGAACATCGCCACAATCAGGAGTCGAACTCTGTGATAGTAATCTATAGGGGGGAAATTATTGAAAATGACTTTTTTAACCCATTCTTCTACTGAATGACGACAACAGGAACTCAAAGGTGCTAATACACACACATACACACACACACACACACACACACACACACACATGCACACTCAATATTTGTTTGCAGACGTATTGTATTAATGTAATCAACTATTTTATGTTCCAGGTCATTTTCTACTTAATGAGTTTCATCAGTGTCTTTGCCTGAACTTACAACCAGAACAAAGCAGTTTTAAATTTTTACAGCATTCAGGCATTACACTTAAAAAAGTCCTGAGGCACATTGATTTCTATAGTCTGCTTTGGGCTGCACTAATGAGGCTTTCAAACCATATGAGTCACATTGATTTTCATAGATGGCTACATGCAACTGTTTGGTTACCAACATTCTTCAAAATGTCTTCTTTTATGTTCAACAGAAGAAAGAAACTCATACAGGTTTGGAATAATTTGAGGATGAGTAAATTTACATTTTTGGGTGAAGTGTCCCTCTATCGCTCTCTGGTGTGGTGTTTAAACAAGGCAGGTTTTAAAGTATCACTCTTTTCAGCACAGGTCAGTTCTCCTCACAGTTTAAAAAAAAAAAGTTGTTAAAAAGGTAGACTTGAAAGCTGGAGTGAAGGGGGCCAAAAGAGATCAAACCATCTGTCTGATCCAGTTATCAGCTTTAAGCCATAATCACAAATTGGTTTCTTACAAATTCACACTGCAGTTTACAATGCATATGAAAAAGAAATGCTCATAATACATTACACAACAGACACAGCTCATCTTGGACCTATAATTGAATACCTGGCCAATTTTAAACCTTTTAACTGTCTCTAAAAATACTTTAAAAAATCATCTAGTAGGCTGAGATAAGTTTATACAATTTATTTAATAACAATCTTGTTAGCTAAACATAGTTTCAATTTTTGATAATTTTTTGTTGTTTCATTAATTGTTCATTCCTTCATTGATTGATTGATTGATTTAAATTCTAATTTTTTTAAACACTTTTTAAAGTTTGCTAAAATACAATTTATTAGCCTATAGTACACAATTGTTACCCTGGACCACAAAACCAGTCATAAGGGTAAATTTTTTTAAATTGAGATTTATACATCATCTGAAACCTGAATAAATAAGCTTTCCATTGATGTATAGTTTGTTAGGATAGAACAATATTTGGCTGAGATACAACTATTTGAAAATCTGGAATCTGAGGGTGCAACAAAATCAAAATAGTGAGAAAATCATCTTTAAAGTTTTCCAAATGAAGTTCTTAGCAATGCATATTATTAATCAAAAATTAAGTTTTGATATATTTATGGTAGGAAATTTACAAAATATCTTCATGGAACATGATCTTTACTTAATATCCTAATGATTTTTGGCATAAAAGAAAAATTGATAATTTTGACCCATACAATGTATTGTTGGTTATTGCTACAAATATACCCCAGCAACTTAAGACTTTTTGAAGAGTTTTGTGCTCCAGGGTCACAATTTATTTCAAGTTCCCGAAGTTAATAACAACATACATTCAGTAAACTATAACTTTCCAATAATGATTGGACAGTTATGTTGAAAATGTTAAAAAAGCTTTTTGGTAATCAAGACTTTAACAAAGGTTTGTGTCTGTGCAAAAATGTAATTAAAAAATAAATGTGGAGGACAGATTTTGACAACAGTCTCAAATTATGTGGAAATCCTAACTTGGTAAAAAATAGCTCATATTATTTATCATTTACTTTAATGTGTGAATTGCGTATGTGTTTCTGTCTCAGTTGTTTATTCATTGCATCAGGTTTCCTTAACAAGAAGATTAAATATAGCAGTAACATGAGACATAAATGGTAATAAATCACACCTGAGCTGTACATCAGAGAACACGTACCAGGAAGTGACCGTCTTATAATGTCACACTAACGAGTGTTTTCTCAAATCCTGGACAAGAGCATGCGGAAATGAAGAGGAAAAACTTTTAAAAAGCATTCATAAGAAAATTTATTTCTCCAAGGACTCAGAACAGAGCTTCCTCTGCAGAGCTTTGATCTCTCTCTTTTATATTTTTGAAGCCAGCATTCAGAAAGGGAAAGTACAGTTGGGCGTCTGAACTCGTTAAAAACAGCTGAAATGGATTCACTCTCTGTGGAGGAACTGTCCTGTCCCGTGTGCTATGAAATCTTCAAGGCTCCTGTGCTTCTGTCCTGTAGTCACAGTGTCTGTAAAGTGTGTCTTCAACAGCTCTGGAAAACCAAAAACACTCAGGAGTGTCCCGTTTGCAGGAGAAGATCCTCAAAACAGGAACCACCGTATAACCTCGCTTTGAAAAACTTGTGCGAGTCGTTCCTGAGGGACAGAAGAGAGAACTCGCCTGAGGACGTCTGCAGTTCTCACAGAGAGAAACTCAAGCTCTTCTGTCTGAAGGATAAAGAGCCTGTGTGCGTAGTGTGCAGAGATTCACGGAAACACGCTAATCACACATTTCAGCCTATCAATGAAGTTGTTCCATCTTACAAGGTAGGACTACATTTTCTTCTTTTCAAATATGAAGGGAGCAATAAATAATATTCACTAATGGTTTCACCATTGCTCTCACTGAGTAACACTATTGCCTCTACACTCAAAATAAAGGTGCTTAAAAGGTTCTTCGCAGCGATGCCATAGAAGAACCATTTTTGGTTCCACAAAGAACCATTCAGTCAAAGGTTCTTTAAAGAACCATCTCTTTCTTACCTTTTTATAATCTGGAGAACCTTCTTTCGTCTTTATTTTTAAGAGTATATCACATGTTCAAATATCCTCACAGTTCACTAATTTTCACATATTTGTGAAGAATTCAACCATCTTTTAAATTCTAGGAGGAGCTTAAAACAGCACTGAAGTCCTTACAAGAAAAACTTAAATACAGGGAAGAGATTAGAGGAGAGTACAATAAAACTGTTCAACACATAAAGGTAAAGATTCTGAACTTTTTTGCTTTTTTTAAGATTGGCATTAATACAAAAGTGTACTTAAGTGTTTTAAGAAACATAGTCCTAAAAGTTGTCAGACTCTGTTCCGTGTTTTGTTTCCTATGTTTCCTTTTGCCCTTATTTGGTCCTTCCCGTTCCTGTCATTATGATAATTTGTTCCCAGGTGTGTTCCATTAGTTCCCCTGTACTTAAGCGTTGTGTTTCCTTGTCTCCAGCGTCAGGTATTGAATGTCTGTTAATGTGTCAACCTCTCCTGCTACGTGTGTATTTCCTGGTTCCCTTAAAGACATTAAAATCTTCTGTGTAGATGTAGTCCTAGTCTCCTCGTTCCTCGCTCCGCGCTCCCGCACCGTAGTGAATCGTGATAGAATACCTGACCAATGTAAGCGGCGCCTCCTCTCCCCTTGTTTGTTTTCCGTTTCTTGAAAAGTTTTTTGTTTCCTGTTTATTTCTCCCCACGGCGATGGAAATAGCCGCTCGGTTCTCCGCCTTAGCCTGCCGAGATCTCCCCTTCTTCGAGTACGCCTGGGAATTTTGCGGGCTCGCCGCGGCGATGCCATTGGATGACTCCACCATCAATTATCTGTTCTGGCTCGGGACCAACTACCATCGCCCCATGGACCTCCCAGACACCAAGGTACTATGCTGGAAGGAAGGGATCTTCCGGTATCTGGGGAGTGTCGGGGCCCGAGCCCCTCCAGCCCTCCGGCCGCTCCAAAGTCAAGTTCGAGGGCTGCCACTCGCTCAAGCCCGCTGGAATCTCTGCTGTCAAGCCCGCCGGCGGTTCCTCAGTCAGTCGGCTCCAGCCCCAGAGCTCACTCTAGTGTCGGGCTCCAGCCCCCGAATTTAGCCCACGGTGGGCTCCTGTTCCCAAGTTTAGCCCACGGAAGGCTCCTGTTCCTGAGTTTAGCCCTCGGAGGGCTCCTGTTCCCAAGTCAAGCCCAGGAAGGGCCACTGTTCCCGAGTTAGGCCTACGGAGGGCCTCTAAAGATGATATTCTTCCCAAGGATTTTTTTTGGGGGGGTAGTATGGGTCCGTCTGTAGTGGCCGGGCCGAGTAGCGAGGCCAAGGCCACGGAGGCCGTCCAGCCATGGCCTCCTGAGTTCCCTGCTCCGCTGTGGCTCCCCGAGCTCCCTGTGCCGCCACCAGTCTCCAGGGCACCCCCCGCCCCCCCTGATGGGGAGTAATGTCAGACTCGGTTCCGTGTTTTGTGTGTGTTTTGCTTCCTATGTTTCCTTTTGCCCTTATTTGGTCCTTCCCGTTCCTGTCATTATGATCATTTGCTCCAGGTGTTCCCCGTTCAGTTCGTTTGTTCCCAGGTGTGTCCCATTTGTTCCCCTGTACTTAAGCCCCGTGTTTCCTTGTCTCCAGCGTCAGGTAATAAATGTGTCAACCTCTCCTGCTACGTGTGTTTTTCCTGGTAACCTTAAAGACATTAAAATCTCCTGTGTTGATGTACTCCTGGTCTCCTCGTTCCGCGCTCCCACACTGTAGTGAATCGTGACAAAAATATCTTTCTTTAAGTAAACTTAAGAGGCCTTTAATTTCATTAATATAAAATGTGCATTGTGTTTTTTTTTATCTATCTTAAAGGAACACTCCACTATTTTTGAAAATAGGCTAATTTTCCAACTCCCCTAGAGTTAAACAGTTGAGTTTTACCGTTTTCAAATCCATCTCCGGGTCTGGCGGTAGCACTTTTAGCTGTAGCTTATAGATCATTGAATCTGATTAGACCGTTAGCATCTCGCTCAAAAATGACCAAAGAGTTTATATATTTTTCCTATTTAAAACTGGACTCTTCTGTAGTTACATCATGTACTAAGACCGATGGAAAATGAAAGTTGCGATTTTCTAGGCCGAAATCATTGCGCCTGCTGCACCCATGGTACAGCAGCAAAGTTCCTTGATTATTAAGCCGGAATGAGAGTATAGTTCCTAGCCATATCGGCCTAGAAAATCGCACCTTTTCATTTTCCGTCGGTCTTAGTACATGATGTAACTACAGAAGAGTCAAGTTTTAAATAGGAAAAATATAGAAACTCTTTGGTCATTTTTTAGCAAGATGCTAACGATCTAATCAGATTTAATGATCTATGCTAAGCTACAGCTAAAAGTGCTACCGCCAGACCCGGAGATCGGCTGAATGGATTCGAAAACTGTAAAACTCAACTGTTTAACTCTAGGAGAGTTGGAAAATGACCCTATTTTCAAAAATAGTGGCGTGTTCCTTTAAGTGCACATTCAATACAGTGAAGCACACTTCTTTTCGCACACTTCACTCCCTAGTGAAAAATACGTATATATACAGTGGGTACGGAAAGTATTCAGACTCCCTTAAATTTTTCACTCTTTGTTATATTGCAGCCATTTGCTAAAATCATTTAAGTTAATTTTTTTTCCTCATTAATGTACACACAGCACCCCATATTGACAGAAAAACACAGAATTGTTGACATTTTTGCAGATTTATTAAAAAAGAAAAACTGAAATATCACATGGTCCTAAGTATTCAGACCCTTTGCTGTGACACTCATATATTTAACTCAGGGGCTGTCCATTTCTTCTGATCAGCCTTGAGATGGTTCTACACCTTAAGTTGAGTCCAGCTGTGTTTGATTATACTGATTGAACTTGATTAGGAAAGCCATATATATAAATGCTGACTTGCATATCATGGAAATGCTGTCATCTGTTGTGTGTTAATGCAGAGCTGATTGAACCGAATGTGATGTGATTTCAGACTCAAGCTGAGCACACAGAGCGTCAGGTTCAACACGAGTTTGAGAAGCTTCATCAGTTTCTCAGTGATGAAGAACAAGCTACGATCTCTGCACTGAGAAAGGAAGTGGAGAAGAAGAATCAGATGATGAAGGAGAAGCTGGAGGAGATGAACAGACACATCTCAGCTCTTTCACACACCATCAAAGACATCGAGGAAAGAATGAAAGCCAATGACGTCTCGTTTCTGAAGGTTATAATCACCCTCTGTATGAGAGACTCATTCATTCATACACTTATTGAGATAATAATGTGCTTTCCACACTGTTTTTTTTCCAGAACTTTAATGTCACAAAGGAAAGGTAAGCAAGCTGCCCCTGTCTCTCCTCTCCACATTTTACGGCAAACAAAAAGCATCCTGTTAGTTCTGAAGAACCCTTTGGAGAACCTCTAGGGACCTTCTCAGGGTGTCTCAAATATCCTATTGTGTACTCAAAGAACTATATTTCAAGTGCCTCAAAACTTATTATGGAGTTACTTCCCTGTTGAAAAAAAAACAGCATATGTTGGTTATAGTTGTTTTGAAGCATGGCAGCTGGTTTGAGCTGGTTTAAGATGGTCCTGAGCTGGTTATAAGCAAGTCCTGAGCTAGTTATAAGCTGGTTTAAGCCGGTCCTGAGCTGGTTTTAAGCTGGTCCTGAGCTGTTTTAAGATGGTCCTTAACTGGTCCTGAGCTGGTCCTAAACTGTTTTAAGCTGGGTTTATCTGATCCTGAGCTGGTTTAAGCTGGTCCTGAGCTGCTTTGAGCTGGTCCTCAGCTGGTCCTGGGCTAGTTTAAGCTGGTCCTGAGCTGGTCCTGAGCAGGAGCTAGTTGCTCAGGACCAGCACATGACTAGCGTAAACCAGTTCAAACCAGCTGCCATGTTTCAAAGCATACCTAACCAGCATATGTTGGTTTTTTCAACAGGGTTGAGGAACCATTCACAGTCTGGAGAGCTTTTGCAGGAACTTATGGCTTCCATTCAGAGAATTGTCCTTTTTAAAAGGAAGCTAGAAGTTCTCCAGAGGGGTTTTTGGTTGAGCCCAAACTCACTGCTGTACTGACAACCCGCATGTTATTCCAGAGCCCGTGGCACTCAGCCCGATCCAGAGAGGTGCTGTGGAGCTTTGATTGATGTACCGAATTACTTGGGCAATCTGGCATTCAGAGTCTGGAAGAAGATGCAAGACACTGTCCAAAACAGTGAGTCACTAAACTACTATGTACTTGCATTTAAATTAATCATTTGATACAATGCACCTATTGTGTATACATACATTTTTACAATGTACTTATATTTTTAAAATGACCTGCATGTGATTACATCTGTAACTAATTTCTATAAATAAACCTGTCCCTAACCTCACCCGTATCCCACCTCAACAGCAGCAGAAGTGTTTTGGGTTACACTTTATTTTAAGGTGTCCTTGTTACAGTGTAAATATACATTTAAGTACTGCGTAATATTAATTAACTACATGTACTTACTATATGGTTAGGGTTAGGATTAGGTTTAGGCTTAGAGTTACTTGCAAGTAATTATGCATAACTAGTTGTAATTATAATAGTTCTTACATGTAACAAGGACACCTCAAAATAAAGTGTTACCGTGTTTTGCAAAACAATTTGAACACAATAATTTGAACACAATAAGTACATTGTACTTATTTTTTCATGTAACATAGTATTTAAAACCACTTAATATAAAGTGGAACCAAAATTTGTGCTGTGAATAGTGGAGATTCCCACAAAACATAGAAACAAAAGCAGATTATTTGAGGGTGTTGTAGTAAGTGAGGATCATATTAGTTCTGATAACATCTCAACAGTATAGTTCATTTAATTAGCATTATTATTAAGTATTTTTTTATGGCTCTACTCTTGAAAGAGTCTTCTGTTAATATCTGAATAAGAGCAGCTGCTGATTGTTTGCTCTCATCAGCTCCAGTGGTCCTGGACCCAAACACTGCAAGTCCACAACTCGTCCTGTCTGATGATCTGACCAGTCTGACATACAACAAGACCAGGCTACCGCTTCCTGATAATCCAGAGAGATTCGACTTCTTTCGCTGTGTTGTGGGTTCGGAGGGCTTTAAATCAGGAACACACTGCTGGGACGTGGAGGTGGGGAACAATTCAGCTTGGACTGTGGGAATAATCGCAGCCTCGTACCAAAGGAAAGGAGATGCTTTCTTCAGAGAAGGTGTCTGGTACGTGCAGTACACGGGGAAAGAGTACTTGTCGCAGTCTCCTGAACAACCCGCCGCTCGCTTTCCCGTTAAAGACAAGCTCCGGTGCATGAGAGTTCATCTGGACTGGGACAGTGGAAACATGTCGTTCTCTGACCCTGTAACTAACACACCACTGCGTACATTCAAGACCACCTTTAGAGAGACACTCTTTCCATTCTTTCAGAGTATTTGTGAAACGTCCCCGCTGAGGATCGTACCAGTTAGAGTGAAAATCAGCTCTATTTGAAGCTGCTTGTAGATGAAGGTTTTCAAGTTAACTTTAAGGAGTGAGTTGTATTGCCTTTGTATTTTAGATAGGTTAGATATACATTACGCAATTTTTTTTACCTCTTCAAAACAAAAAGTATCTGTAAAAATTCAAAATTCAAAAACTAGTTTCTCTTGATTTACATTGATGTTGAGCTCGCTTTTCTAGTGAGCTGTCATCTAATTCACTCTAAAAAAAGAACAAAACACTACAATTCTGTTGCCATTCTGCATGAATATGTGCATATTATGGGGTATAAAGTAATTATTTTACAAATAAATGAACTGTGGATGGATCATGTTAGTACTGTGGTTAGTATTTCCACTTTGTAATTCTTGCTTACATAGACATTTTCTGAAATAAAGGTTTTTACTTACGCATTTGGTAGCCGTTTTTATCCAAGACTACTTACATTGCATTTCAAGGTATATGCTGTATACGACCCTGTACCAAGAAACCAGTCATCAGGGTCAATTTTTTTATACATCTGCTGAATAAATAAGCTTTCCATTGATGAATGGTTTGTTAGGATAGGACAATATTTGGCTGAGATACAACTATTTGAAAATCTGGAATCTGAGGGTGCAACAAAATCAAAATACTGAGAAAATCATCTTTAAAGTTGTCCAAATGAAGTCCTTAGCAATGCATATTACTAATAAAGGCTACTAATATATTTTTACGGTAGAAATTTGACAAACTATCTTCATGGAACATGATCTTTACTTAATATCCTAATGATTTTTGACAAAAAAGAAAAATGGATCCATTTTGACCCATACAATGTATTTTTGGCTATTGCTACAAATATACCCCAGCGACTTAAGACTGGTTTTGTGCTCCAGGGTCACATATACAATTTATCCTTTCATGCATTCTCTGGGAAACAAACCCATGAAAACCCATGACCTTGAATGCTACATGAACGGTTTCATTTCATTGTGAAATAAGTAGTCACTTAAGAACAAGTTAATTGAGCACAAGAGATGAAAACATTGATGTGGTTTTCTAGCTGTAAATGGTTCATATGCATATTATGTGATTCTGAACTGAAGTGCTGAAAGGGCCACAAGGGTTTGCTTGTCTGAGTAGAGGCCCAGTGACCTCTAAAATTTACACATTTACACATTAGGCTACTATATGTGGGATATTGATTGTAAGAGACTATATGTATACATGTGTCTCAATATGTCTCGATCGGGTCCTTTCTTTCTGAACATGCTTCACAACTCTTTGTTCAAGCTCTTGCAATGCTCTCTTGGCAGATCTTCCAGCCAGTTCTATCAAACCTTGACAATTAATCCAGAACGCGGCAGCAAAATTAATCTTTAATGAGCCGAAAAGAATGCACATCACACCTCTGTTTATCAGTTTGCACTGGCTACCAGTAGCTGCTCACATTAAATTCAAGGCATTGATGTTTGCCTACAAAACCACCACTGGCTCTGCACCCATTTACCTAAATTCCCTACTTCAGAGTTATGTGCCTCTAGAAGCTTGCGTTCTGCGAGTGAATGGCATATTATTGTGCTATCTCAAAGAAGCACAAAATCACTTTCACAGACTTTTTCATTAACTGTTCCCTCCTGGTGGAATGACCTGCCCAACTCAATCCCAGCAGCTGAGTCCTTACCCATCTTCAAGAAACAGCTAAAAACACATCTCTTCCATCTTTATTTGACCCTCTAACTCTAACACTCTCTATTCTAATTCTATTCTTTAAAAAAACACTTGCTTTCTAAACTTTTTGTATTCTATCTGTTTTCTTTTTATTTATTATACAATTAACAAAAGCAAAAAAGACATCTAACACTAGCTTGCTCTATTCTTTTTCTATTCTATCTGTTTTCTTTTTTATTTATTATATTATTGAAAAAAAACTTTGCTACGTGTACTGCGTCAAGCTAACTGAGACTTGTTAAAGCACTTGTATATCATTGCTCTTTTGTTGATTTTGGTTGCTTCCATTGTCCTCATTTGTAAGTCGCTTTGGATAAAAGCATCTGCTAAATGACTAAATGTCTTAATCAAGGTAAATGTCTTGATAAAGTATATATACTGTACAGTGCAAGTGGACTGCTGTATATGAAGCATTACAGTAAGTATAACAGCACACATTACATGTTTAGGACAAAAAAGTCTAATAGAAATGTATAGAAAATATCCTTGATAGTTCAACCATTTTGCATTTGACTTATGCAAGGAACTAATGCCTAGTGTTTACATAATCACAATCAATGCTGGTTTACATAATCAAGAGCATGAATGTACCAAAGCATTTGCAATGTGTTCATGATGCCAACAAGTGACTAGGTCATGTGGAGGTTGAACAAGTAGTTGATCTGAGAAATGTAGAGTTACCGAAGCGACTGAGAAAAACTCTAGAAGAGCAGCCTCACTAATTTTAGAAACACCCTCAGTGATTTGATTCTGGGACCGCAACTCTTATTCATTCATTAAATCAAAACTCATTCATTCAATCATTCAAAATACGTCTATATTTTGTGAATTATTTTTTTTATAGCCAATACATAGCCAACACTGTGTCTGTGTGCGCCTTTAAAGGGGTCATATGATGTTGCTAAAAAGAACATTATTTTGTGTATTTGGTGTAATGAAATGTGTTTATGCGGTTTAAGGTTAAAAACACATTATTTTCCACATACTGTACATTATTGTTTCTCCTCTATGCCCCGTCTTTCTGAAACGTGTCGATTTTTACAAAGCTCATCGGTCTGAAAAGCGAGGTGTGCTCTGATTGGCCAGATATCCAATGCGTTGTGAAACCTCGGTGAAGTTGGCCCCCCACCCAACGCAAAACGTCGGCAAAATAGTCTCAATCATTTTTTATGTAAAGACATTATGAAATAGGCCTAGTTTTTTTTCGTTTAATTGGTCTAACTGAACGAACAACAATTAAGTGACTGTGACTATTTCATGTGATTTGGTTTGCCGTTTGAATTTATTACTTATTACTTCAACTGTATTTTTAAAAAAGACAGTAAAAACAAAAATACCGGTACAAACCAGCACAAACGAAGCACAAACAAACGAGACTATTGGGGTAAATTTGAAGCATGTGGGGGGCTGAATGACATCAAAATGATCATTAAATATTATTTTAATATCTAAAAAACCGAAGCAGCACAAAGAAACTTTTACCTGCACAAACCAGCACAAATGCAGCACAAACAAAGAAGATTATTTTGGGTGAATTTGGAGCATGTGGGGCTGGTGACGTCATCGCATATAATTCAGTGTCTAATATTTTAAAAACCGAAGCAGCACAAACGAAACTTTTACCTGCACAAACCAGCACAAACGAAGCACAAACAAACGAGAATATTTGGGGTGAATTTGGAGTATTTTGGGGGGCTGAGTGACCTCAGAATGACCTATAAATATTATTTTAATATCTAAAAAACCAAACCAGCACAAACGAAGCACAAACAAACGAGAATATTTGGGGTGAATTTGGAGTATTTTGGGGGGCTGAGTGACCTCAGAATGACCTATAAATATTATTTTAATATCTAAAAAACCAAACCAGCACAAACGAAGCACAAACAAACGAGAATATTTGGGGTGAATTTGGAGTATTTTGGGGGGCTGAGTGACCTCAGAATGACCTATAAATATTATTTTAATATCTAAAAAACCAAACCAGCACAAACGAAGCACAAACAAACGAGAATATTTGGGGTGAATTTGGAGTATGTTGGGGGGCTGAGTGACCTCAGAATGACCTATAAATATTATTTTAATATCTAAAAAACCAAAGCAGCACAAACGAAAATTTTACAGCGCAAACCAGCACAAACGATTGAGACTATTTTGCCGACGTTTTGCGTTGGGTGGGGGGCCAACTTCACGGAGGTCGTTGTGATTGGCCGAATACCTCAAGCGTGTGATGGAAATGTTACGCCCCTCACATACTGTGATGCCCTGTCCAGCCGGAGCGACGAAACAAAAACATTAAAACCCATTACAAGGCTTTTGTTGCATCCAGTGTGGACATAATTATGGATTGTAATGACTTTTTTCTGTCTTTTTACGCGTTGCGTTGCATCTAGAGGCTAGAGTGAGGAACGGCCGGAGGTCTTGAGTGAGCGGCGGCGGCGGGCGGGCGGGCTTGAGGGCGGCGCAGCCGGGGGGGTCGACGGA